CCAGCGCCAGGCCCCGAGGGAATGGCCTCAAGCTGCCCAGGGCAGGGTCAGGCTGGCTCTGAGGAAGGATTTCTGTGCAGAAGGGGCTGTTGGGCGTTGGAATGGGCTGCCCAGGGCAGGGGGGAGTCCCCGGGATCCCTGGAGGGGTTGAAGAGTCGGGCTGAGCCAGCGCTGAGGGATCTGGGGGAGTTGGGAAGGGTCAGGGGGAGGGTCATGGTTGGACTGGAGGAGCTGCAAAGGCTTTTCCGACCGAGATGATTCTGGGATTCTGTGAAACAGAAAGAAATGTGGGTGCAACCCCATAAAGGAATTGGCAACATGGGACCCTCATTGAGCTTGGTCAAGCTTTACGGACCTCTGCAAGTTTTGATATTTTTGGTATCATAATTCTTCTTCTGAATATAAGGTACTATAATTTTGCTATTTATTATTTTTCTGCCCCCAAATCTGCCTCTTTCAAGAGTTTTACTACATCCCTGCATGGGACGAGTCTCCCAAGGCCACTGTCATACCCCAACTATTGCCTGGCACAGATGAGGGGACTCGAGCTGGGTCAAGGGGACCCTTCTCCCCCTCCCCATCTCTCCCCTACACCCAGAAACCTTGCGGAGAGGCAGCAGGACAGTGATGAGCTGGGAGCTGTGACCCAGTTACTGCTGCCCACAGAATCCCAGAATCCTTCGGGTTGGAAAATCCCCTTGGGAACATCGAGTCCAACCCTCAGCCCGACTCTACAAAGTTCTCCCCTACCCCACATCCCCCACAGCTCATCCCAACAGCCCTGAAACCCCCCCAGGGATGGGGACTCCCCCCTCCCTGGGCAGCCTGTTCCACTCTCGGACCACTCTTGCTGGGAGAATTTTTTTCCTAATGTCCAGATGTTCAGACCTAACACCCATAAGGGTTGATAAACTCCGAAGTGACATCATAGGGACAAATATGTCCCAGAGGGGCTGAGCCGCCACCAAAAACCCCCTGTGGTTCATGACCTGCTGTCTCCTGCCCCATCCCACCTCCCTCCCCACCCGCACGGAGCCACCCAGCTCATTTTCGTACACACGCCGTTACACAAACAGAGCTGCTGCAGCCAAATCAAATCTCTTCAAATATCAGACGTCTTCCCCATTTAGCACTAATCCAAACAGTAATTTGTTTATGCAAATTAGAGCTCTAATTTTGTATTAGTCCAAACTATGCTCATAATGCTATTAGCAGAACGTATATAAACCGCACATTACTGGAGAATATCTGTAAATTAAGACCCTGCTATCCTATCAGCAGAATGCAAACCCCGGAGAGCATTACCTTTAAATGAACATGTGCTGCAAAGAAAAAGAGAATTGTAAAATGTAATAGTTACATTTCTTAGCGCTTAGTGTGACAGCCTATTCATTTCATCGGGCTGTTGCCACTGGCTACCGAGCTTGGAGAATTGCTGCCTGGTTTTTGCGGAGGGGATGGGGACTGCACAAAGAAG